TCCCCCACCCTGCACAGCCTGAAGCGTCCCGCCACTGGCGAACGCCGCGCCAAGGCGCCTCCGGGCTGCGTGTCTGGGCTTGCGGCCGCAGGAGTCAAGAAGCCAAAGGCCATGAGGAAGTTGAGCTTCGCTGATGAAGTGACCACATCGCCGGTCCTAGGCCTGAAGATTAAGGAGGAGGAGCCCGGAGCCCCGTCCCGAGGCCTGGGGGGCAGCCGCACGCCGCTGGGGGAGTTCATCTGCCAGCTGTGCAAGGAACAGTACGCGGACCCCTTCGCGCTGGCGCAGCACCGCTGCTCCCGCATCGTTCGCGTTGAGTACCGCTGCCCCGAGTGCGATAAGGTCTTCAGCTGCCCGGCGAACCTCGCCTCCCATCGCCGCTGGCACAAGCCGCGTCCCGCAGTGGCAAACGCCGCCACAGTCTCCTCGATTGACGCGAAGCTTCCTCCTTCGTCCTCCCCGGATTCCGGGGCTGTTGCTTCTTTTCTGGCGGAGGGGAAGGAGAACAGCCGGGCAGAGCAGACGGAAAATCAGCACCTGCAGGCCAGGGACAGCTCCGGGGTGGAGCCGCGCCCAGACGGCGCCCCATCCCAGAGCCTCCAGGTGTTGTCCCACCTCGAGGCACCCCTGCCTCGGGTCCCCTACACGGAAGGGGTACTGGGGCGTCGACTGCCTGGGCCGGGCAGTGCCAGTGGTGCCGGGGGACCCGAGATCTTCGTGTGCCCCTATTGCCACAAAAAGTTCCGTCGCCAAGCCTATCTGCGCAAGCATCTGGGCACTCACGAGGCGGGTTCGGCCCGCGCGCTTGCCCCCGGCTTTGGCTCCGAACGCGGGGTCCCACTGGCCTTCAGTTGCCCACTGTGCGGGGCGCACTTCCCGTCCGCAGACATCAGGGACAAGCACCGGCTGTGGCACGCTGTCCGGGAGGAGCTGCTCCTGCCAGCTTTGGCTGGGGCAGCCCCGGAAGCTCCGAGCCCAGGAGGGGCATCCGACGGGAGTGCTCAGCAGATTTTCTCGTGCAAGCACTGCCCGTCCACTTTCTTTAGCTCCCCGGGGCTGACTCGGCACATCAATAAGTGCCACCCCTCCGAGAGTCGGCAGGTGCTGCTGCTGCAGATGCCATTGCGGCCAGGCTGTTGAGGGCCCGGAGATCGGAGAGTTTGCGAGGTTGGCCCCTGAGGAAACAGATCATGGGAATTTCTGTAGGGCTCTCTTCAACTTGCAAGTTTACCTCATGTTCTTCCTGTATGTTCTCTCCTAAAAGTCTCAGTAGTCGTTCTGACATCGGAGCGGACAGCAAAATGTAAAATCCCTTTCCAGAGCAGGTTATGTATATGGATGGTTATAAACATTCGAGGCCAAGGACTGCCAGCTTTAAATCCTTCTCTTTCCCCATGAAAATAGGATCCCCCTCGCCTCCCAAACTCTGAAGGTCCTAATGAATCCCATATGACTTGTAATTCCTATGGAAAGTCGCAGTGAATGCGTGCATGTCTCAATGTCTACAGTCATTTTTTTTTCCTGTTGTCATCGCAGGCACCTATTTAGTTTCTGTTTCAATAGGGTCAGATATCTTGCATTGTATATTCTGTGAATTAAAAGTTGTGACTGGTGCCAAACTTTTGGGGTGGGGGGAGATTCAAGACCTGTGTCTGTAGGTAGGAAATAGGATATTTTTTGCTTTGGGGGATGTGGGGGTCTCCCTGTAAGCTTTCCTTTTCTCAGTATTAGTCTACTTTTAAGTTAGTGTTTGGAGGTGGGGAGTGAGCTACTTGACAGGAAGCAGCTGACATATCCCCAAGATTCTCACCTTTAGCTATTTTGTGTGTAGTAGGCAGGAAGAGATACTTTAAACCGGGGGGAAAAAAAATAGCTTTTTGGGAATATAGAACTCATTTCCTGAAGTTGAACTGTTTTAGTAGGGTTTCATCCAAATTGTTTGATACTTCCGTTGTAAATCTTGTACTGTGTATTATAAATTAAACTATGTTCAGTTTAAGGAAGATGTTAATACCTATAATCCACAATGGAGCTGAATGGCAAGTCATTCAATATCTAGTATTTTATTTTTTATGTAAACCATAACCGGTGCACATTCTGTACCCATGTCCTAAGAGCCAGAGTGTAGGACACTAGCTGAGTGAGTATCGCTTGACAGACCGCCTGTGTTTATAAGATGCTCACCACCAAATAAATGCCCATGGCTGGTGCTTTGTCGTGTTCTGTGTTTGTCTTAAGAATTCCATTAAATACAGCCTATTTTTCAAAGCTACATCTCCCCAAAGCCGGTATCCTACTTTATAATTTTAGTGACCCACTTAGATTACAGCCAGGAGAAATTATATTTTGTAAATGAATGTGATGGTGAGGAAATGCAATGGAAAAATTTCCTTTAAAGTATGGCTGTGCAGATAGAGCTCCAAAAGGCAAAGAATATGCACTATTCTTTCAAGACACTTTACCACCCCAAAATATCAACAGAAAAATATTAAAAAATTTTAAAAAATCTAGTGGTTATCTTAAGATGAAAACAATCATGTTAATTGTGCTAATTAACTGCTATTTCATGTTGGCATTTTCACTCCATTTTGTTACATATCATGAAACCATTAGCTGTTCATTAAAAAATTTTTGAAAGCACTGTAGAAACGTGTAAGCTGTTACTTTGATTTTTCCTCTTTGTAATTCTTTACCTAGGTTGTGGGAAACTGTATTGTTTAATCTTGTTCCAAGGGACATGTTTATTGTCTTTTGTAGGAATTTTAGTTTATTTTCTACATTGTTTCATAGGAATTTTTTATTTATAAAAAAAAAGTACACAGGTTTTAGAAACTATAAAAGTTTTGTTCCTGAATGTATACTATAAGCCAAGTAAATTTAAGAAATCAAAGAAACATGAGGCTGAGATAAAATGATGCTTTAACCAAGTGCACTGGGTGATGTTTCTAGCCAGCCCTTATGAAGGCATAAAATTTCCTGCATTTTTAATGATTGTGGTAGGATTCCTGTGAAATAAGTTAGGGGTGTATCCTGAAAATTCAAGCCCATTTTTCATGATAATCTAGATTTATGCTTCACATCTCTCCATTAATTACATAGCCCTGATTATTAAATCTGAAAATACATAAAAGACAAAAACACTAATGGACATAAGTGATAATATTTTTATTGTATTACTAAATACTATATATTTTTTTCACTGTTACAAATTTGTAGATACTACATGAAAGATGATACATAATTTATATTTTATAGTTTGCTGTATGATGTATTTACACATGCAGTTAGTACCGATGCCATGCTACATTTCCTTAGGAGATGCCAGTTTAAAACAAAATATGAGCAAAATGTGAGCAGCTTATCTACTGTAGGAAAATACCTCTGGAGAGTGGAATGTATACCAACTGCACCTGCAAGTTCAGTATTAACAATATTAGATTTAATTTGGACTCCTGGGTCATGTTCCTTTTTTTAAAAAAAATACACATAATTTAATTAACACATTTATATCAGAAAAGTTTTTTCCTTCTTTTCTTTTTTCCTCCCAAGTCCTCCCTTTATGGTATTTAAGAAAGAACATAGGTACACCAGGATCCACCAGCCAATAATAAAGGGCCACAATCTCAAAAAAAAAAAAAGAGGCATTTAACAGTGATACCATTTAAAAAGCAAAACATTAGAAAGATATTGAAGCTAAACTTAAATCAAAGTTAGCACAGTGATTTTTCTGGTTACTAGATATGCCACGGCATCACCACACAGCCAAGAAACGAGGCATTGCTTTGGGAAGAAAAAGTTAATGCTAAAATTATTTCAGTTAGAATTTGTGATGCTAAAAGACCATTTATTTTAATGTTTTATTTTCATAACATAAATAATCCATACACATCCTGTGTATTAACAGATATGCAACTTTTGCTATAACTTTACAAATGCTTAAATTTAAAAATTTACATTTGTAAAAAAATTATATATTTACTGAGCCCATAAAGTTGCAATGGGGCATGATAAATAAAATAACGAGAACCATTCTATTTTGGTTCAAAGGTAATCATGAAATTAAAAGTAAAACTTCTTAGACATAATTATCTAGAAAGGTGAAGGGATATTGAATGCCCCTCTCCCCCAAGGCAGTTTGGAGTGTGGGGGGGAAAACCAAGTGAATAAACAACTCAAATCTAAAATATTAAGTTACAAATTATTTAAATCCAGTGTTCTTTTTACAATAAATGTTCAGGAAGGAACATGCATGCTATGGCAAACATAAGAGCCCGAAAGGGTTAACACTATGTTCATGCTAAGGTGGCTACTGCTGATCTCTGCTTGGGCTGCTCGTCTCCTTAGGATTTATTGGCTGAGCCAGAGGATCGACGCAGCTTCATGGACATACGGCTTTTGCTAGTTCGAGGAGACATTGGAGAGGCCAGGTCGGCCCCATCTACCTGCGTTGCTGTGGGAGTTTCACTGGGTAGAACCTCTGGGTAGGAGCCTGTGGGAAAAAGCAAGAGCATTAGTACAGGTCAGGTTATCCAGCCTCTAATCCCATATAAAACAACCTGTCGCTACTAATCTGTAGCAATGGATCCCAACCTTGAATGAGGTCTTTTGAGAGGAAAGAACAAGCCCCAAACTTGCTTGTTATAAGTTAACTAATATTTTATTTAAAACCCAATGATCTGGTGGCTCATGCCATCACATTAGCAAGAAAGCGCCAATCCTTATTTCCAGAGCCAGAATCAAGCAGAGAGCTCCCCAGAAAAAGCAATGGGAAGCAAAATCTTTGGGCCAGAAAGGACAGGGATCCAAAGCACTATTAGCATGCAGGACGGGCTTAAGAAGCAGGTAAGAAGGACCAATTCCCATCTCTAGGGCATAGGGTATAACCAAGAAAAGGGCCTTCACTGCCTAAACTTGAAAATAACAAAGCAATCAGTTTCAAAAGGAATTCAGCACGATGAGACCACTATACATCTAGGTATTAAAATATGCTTTCAAGAAGGAGGAAGAGGACAAGAATTTGCATTTGAAAGTCAGTTAAAAAGATAAACTAACCCCCCAAAATGTCTCAATTTAGAAGAGATAAACAATACTTTCTTTTCCTTAACTTAAACTTTTGCAATTATATTATCCAGTCCTAGGAAATAGGCAACCAGTAGAATTAGAAGATATAAAAATTTAAAAGCAAAGTTAAGTTCAAATTAGAAAATTATTTGTGTCATTTATAAAGTAGTTCTTCACCTCTGTACTTTATTTCCATGAATTGATTCTTTAATATACAGCAACTCTACAGAACTTTGCACATTATAGGCTCTCAAATATTTTCTGAATAAATAAGAAATTATATTAAAAATAAAAGCCCTTGCCTGGCCGGTGTGGCTCAGTGGTTGAGCGTCGACCTATGAACCAGGATTGATACCCAGTGTGGGGAGTGCAGGAGGCAGCTGATCAGTGGTTCTCTCTCATCACTGATGTTTCTGTCTCTCTCTCCCTCTCTGAAATCAATAAAAATATATTGAAAAATAAAAAATAAAAATAAAAGCCCTTCAAAAAAAACAAAGGAAATCAGCAAACATAACAGAATAACAAAGTTTAAAAAATTCTGTATATTTTAAAGCACTTTAATCCAGATTTTCTGGGCTCTGTGTACATGGAAATTTTCTTTGTATGTGTCACAAACAGACAGACACACACCATATAGGTTGCAGGCTTAAATTTACACATCTCTTTACTCTGTAGGGAAAGCTTTGGCATATTTTTAGCCAAAGTAGCACCTCACTGACACTTTAAGCTTGGATATAATCATACTAGAACTTCCATATAATAAAACATTTGTGCCTAAATTGAAATTATGAGTATTTATAAGAAAACACAAGACCATTCAATAGGGATACCGGTCCTACTGAGATGTATCCCTGTTATTAAGAATGTGTCTTGGTAGGACACTTCAAAATGTTTTAAAGGCCAAATGTTCTCATTATACTTATGAACAAACATACATTGTCGAAGAAAAATATTTTATTACTCATAATCCAGGTCAACTGCCCTGCTTTTCAAAGCAACTTCTTCAACATTATTTTTTTTTCTAACTGAAATGAGGTTGGCCTTCAAAATACAAGGAAAAGGAATATATATATTTCTGTTCACCTTTACTCATCCTGAAGATCTCAATTGGTTGATCCTGGACCCCTACTGGAAAACCTCAAGGAGAGTATGAACCCATGGCCCTTTTTAGGAAAGCACTGCAGATGGACGGCAGAAGGAAGGTGAAGAGCAGTGGCTCATGCTTTTCTGGTAATGCATATTATTCCCGCCAATCATGACAGGCTTTCCCATGGCTATTTACCTTGAGATGGCCAATGTTTTCTAGCGGAGGTTTTGGGAGGAAGAGAACTATCACTGCATTTCTTTCTTTGTTGTAAATGAAGAAATGGAGTAGCGAGCAGAAGTGAGAAAACAAAAGAGAAGATAGATAACAGATATGAGAGACACTGCAGAATTTTACAGGTGTTAACCAAGGAGCAGAGAAGAGAGTAATCAGGTTTTTAATATGAAATACAATTGGTCATGCAATGTGTTAGAGTGATGATGTATCACAATGAATGCTTTGTAATTTCAAATGTTATACTTACCAACTAACACAACAAGTTCAAATAGGAAAAAAGAAAAGAAAAAAATTGTGTATGAGAGATGCTATAAACATCTATCTTTCAAAGTGTTCACTGTACTGGGGGTATGTTATCCTGATCACTCAGTCATAGAATCTTTAGAGCTATACTTACTGCCCCACATGTTAGCCATAGCTGCCACATTAATTAAGTTAAAATTAAATATAAAAAATTGGCTTCTCAGTACACTGAG